ATAATAAACAAAATAAACTAATAATTTGAATAGAATCTAAAATAATTAAAATTAATATATTGGTACAACTTATATGGCATTTAATTAGTCTAACAACTAGTCCATCCAGTTCATCCTAATCTGTTCTAATCAATCCTGGACCGCAGTCCAGCCTAACTTTTTAAAAGACTGGTCTTTGAACCAAAACAAACCAACCAACAGCCCTAGTCTGAACTTTTAATATCTCTAGTATATCTGAACCTGAATATTTGAACTAAATCTTTACTCAAGTTTGGATTCGATTCAGGAAATTTTTGATTTTAATATATTATAATTTTTTTTTTATTTCTTCCTGTAGTTGATTTGAAGTAACCTCTTTATTATTCTATAAAACAAGTTAACTTATATTAGAAAAATATCAATAATTAGTTTTTATCAGAATTGTATAACACATTACCATATTTAATACTTTTATTAGTCTCAAACCTACAACTAGTGATGGGCACCGCGCGTGATCCATATGTGATATGCAGAATATATTGTAATAATTCAGGCAGTGTCATAAATCTGGCCAGATTCTGAAATATTCTAAGGCCAAAGTAAAATTTTGACTCATATCCATAAACTTTCAAAATATAAAAAAAAAACCAATTCTGCACAGGATTTTTAGAAAAATAGCCGATTGCTCATCACTACCTACAACACTTTTGTAAGTGACTCTCATCTACAACAAATAAAATATGTTAGACTTATGTGAAATATATTATATGCACATATGTGGTACCATTTTTCAGTGATTAATTAGACTACAAATATTTGAAAAAAAAAGCCACACACAGCCAGGGAGGATAGTACCTTCGACATCGCAAGGCATCCCCAAAGATATTGCTCTTCCAGGTCGTCACCACCCCAACCTTCAGCAGTGACTTTTATACTTCTTATCTGTTGTATCTTCATCATATAATAATATATACTAAATCTTAAATATAATGCTAACCTCTGGCATAACTTTTGAGACTTGTTCTTTTCGATCATTATTAACTATTTTTCCAATACTGAATTTACTACAGAATTAGCCAAATTTTTGACTTCTTTATAAGGTTAGTAAGGGTATGACCTTATAATAAAAAGAAATTATGTAATAAATGACACTTCCCTAAACATTTGCAGTATTTTAATTTGAGAATTAATATATCTGTAGTCATTGCTACTATAGCCATAACTAAGATTAGTTAGAGTAAAGATAATATGTGAAAAGAGGAGTTTATAATAAAATTTTTCTGATTGTGTTACATTATACCTGATCTTAAAATATAATTGGCTTTTATGGCTACGATTATATTAACTTTAATTTTGATTTCCGATTGTTTGTTTTGATTTTTATACTGAACTTATTAACAAAGTTTACAATGTTTTAAAGCTTTTTAATTAGTTCTCGCAGTTTATTAAAAGTTCGGTTTAGAAAGAGTGTTTTGAATCAGCAAGAAGTTTCATTTTTTCAAGGCAAGTAGACGGTTCCAAAAGAAGGAATTAGTTATGTTTTTTTCTTATAAATCGATAGTTCAGAGGACTTTCAGAGCAGATTTCTATTGGTTCGTTGAAAACCTTCAGGCAATATCAAAGAGGTTTGGAGTAGATATATATTTGAACTATAGATAACTCTTCCTGGTTGTTTTTTCAATATATCGAACAGTTGCCTCAGTATATTATATATGGTGTATTGGACTAGGTCTTCTGAGATTACTTCTCTAGATATATTTGAATAGACTTCTTGATGGCTGGTGATTCTTGGTAGACTCAATATATTGAACACAAACTTACTTACAGGATTTCTATTTCATTGCTTTTTAACTTCCAAATTTCTGCTTGACTGCATCTAGTTTCTAGAGATTCTTCTGGTTATTGAATTGGATTTTGTTCATTGCTAAAATATGGGCTGCCGTCAATAGAAATCAGGCAGATCGACATTTTAAAAAAAATCTATACCTCAACTTTCACAGCTCATATGTCGATGAATTTGATGATTTAATATTCAAAAGAAAGCTTAGAACTTAAACTTTCTTTTGAATATTAAATTATTAAGTTAGCTTCCAAACTCATCGAGATATGAGCTATGAAAGTTGAGATATAGATATTTTTAAAAATGACAATCTGTCTGATTTCTATTAACAGCAGCCTATATATTAACAACTTATTTTATTATATTTTATATATAGAATCAGATCAACACATTTTAAAATATTTGGTGACATGTTATAGTCTTCTCGGATTTCTACAGTACTTATCAATTAATATTAATGAAGGATACAACATTAAAGATATTGTTTATATTTTCGACATTATATAACAATCAAATTAGATTCTTTTTACCTTTAAAATGACTCGAATTATGGCTAAACACCTGATAACAGCTCTGTCAAATATTCATGATTGAATTCATTTATATGCTTCAATATGTTACTAATTAGATCTTAGAGGCTGAGTTTAAGGGTAGGGTGAACATCGATCATTTTTACTAGTGATCATGTTACTAATTTTTTTACAATAACATTTAATTAAAATCAGGTGATGATCATATGATATTTATATTGTGTAACCTAGGCAAATTTCGATCAACCTAGGAAGAATTAATGATATATGCAAGTATGTTTTTTTTAAATAATACAAGGGTTCAAATTATTATAATTAGAATTAGAAGGGTCTAATCTATCTACCCTAAAACTTTTATGAAAATTGGTTACATTTTTAAAAACTTTTATATGTAACATGTGTTCGATTTTTGTGTAATATTTTTTTGGTTGATCTACTTATATAAGAAATGATCTATGTTCACCCTACCCTTAATAGACTCAATTATTTTGATTTTTAGGAGAGCACCGTTTATTATGTAATTGAGAAGGGAGTTAGCAGTCTATATATTATATATAAAAATTATGATTGGTTGCTAATTCGATCACATAGGGGAGGGGGTATGATTTTATAATAAAAAGAAATTACGTAATAAATGACACTCTCCTTAGGTTGGTAGAATTTGGAAATTAGAAGTTTTCGGGGGTACAGTATTCTAATTTTAAAAAAAATTATTATATTATTATTATTTTTTATTTTTTTTAGCAATATTATCATGTGATGAATGATATCGACAACAGTTTATTTAAATATATATACTGTATAATTAGGTCAATTAAACTTTATTCTCATCCTTTTCAACTCCAATTTTACCAATTTCATCTATGGGTTATAGTCTTTTATTTATATCCAAAAGATTATGTATGCTGTATGCGAAGAATTAGTTTCATTGAAATGTTGATAGTACATTTCGTCAAAAAATATAACCCAAATCTATATTAAGTACTGTTCGTACATACTTACGACGTACGTACGTACGTGCGTGCGTACCAGATACATGCGATTTATTTGTCTTTGTGCCACCAAATTAGATAGTCCCGTTGTAATTGTCTTTGAGCAAAAATTGACGCTTTAACTGGTATTCATCCAATAAGTTAGGGATTGGAACCGCGAAAAATTATGCTGGCGGCTAATCACGTCGCTTAATTACAAGTTACACGATTAATCAAGATAATCGTTTGACCGTTTAATCGTAATCGTATAACCTATATTTAATCGTTTAATTGTCTAAGTACAATCGTTAGGAACTGGAAGTTCAGAGTATAAAATTTTATAGAATAACAAATAGTTCTTAAACCCCGAAAAATTATAAATATTACGTAAATATTACGTAATTGAATCACAAATATATGTTCGGTTCGCTACAGTAATTTGAATATTCACTTTCAGGTTTTAATTTGACCACTCATAGTTATAGTTATACTGCCTAAACGTTGATAAGGTTCAGTGTTATGAAATATCCACACGCATAATTGTTTATATCCATGTGAGGCATTAAATAATTAACGTTAGTAAATTTAAAAAAACGGGTTAAACGAATAATTTACCGGTTTTTAATCGTTTATAAAATTTTCTTACCGTATTAGTATAACATAATAAACGGTTAAAGGCGGTTAAACAAATAACGGTTCCAATCGTAATAATAAATAAAGTTATAGAAAAATTATTTTATGTTACATTTTTTAATTAATGGTTTTTGAGTAATTTAGACGGGATCGATCTAAGTTGCTCAAAATTAATGCAAAGTCGATAAATTTCTATTAAAAAAATGTAACAGAAAAAATGATTTTTCTATTAATTTTATTTATTGGACGCAATTTTTTTTTGCACAAAGTCGGCTGATAATCACTGCGGGACCGATTACAGTAACATTCCTATGACCGAATTTGATAAATGACGTCGGCCGAAATTAAAACTTATCAATTCCGATCATTGACAATTTTTTTAAGTATCCGGAATTATGAAAAAATAAAAGCAGACCAGTGGGTCGCTTTAAAATTTATGTGATGATGGCCCTAAATTTAAAATTTTATTAAACTTTAAAATTTTTTAAAGGTTTCTTAACACTTAAGACAATTTATATGATTATATAATTGTTTTTTGTTGATAGTTGCCAAAAAATTTTCAAAGTAAAAAAAAAATTAAAAATTAACTATAGAATCCAGAATGATCGACAAACGCATGTGTCTAACCTTTGGGATTTTAGAAGTCTTTAATGGGTACAATCGGAGAATGATTTATTAACGTCAGAATTTCCATATTCAACCAAAACATTTTTTTAATTTTAAGCATGTGCAAAATGAGTATTAACTCCGGGTTGTACACATAATGAGTCAGAAAATATCATTTTGGCCGTAATTACCGCAGTCAACAAATATAAAATAACAGTGAAAATGAAAATAAAACTTTTGAAGAAAAAATCACATCTTCTCTAATCATCATTACTTGAAGCAACTTCTTGCTTAAAGCAGATTAACACAAGTAACGCAACTTTAAAAAAAATTATCAAAGTAAAAACCACATCTTCTCTAACAATTATTACAGTACTTCTTGCTTAAAGCAAATTAACACAAATAACACAACTTTAAAAAAAAAATCATCAAGTAAAAACAATGACAACAACCAACACTACGCAGTCTAACTTTACGAGATCTAAAATGACCAAAGACGTTGGCTCAATGGTCAACTCTAACAGCCGTTTCTCTCGGTTCGCTATTGAACTCAACGATAAGAAGGAATCCATCATTGAATCCTTCACCAACCGAGCATGCTGTCAATATGAAAGTAGGAAAGAGGAGGGGCGGGAATATCTCGGTAGAGCCGGACAGCAAATTTATCCAACATACGACCCATCACAACCGTCACCGTCATCAAGATCCAATCCAATTATTTTACGAGGAATTAATATCTATTCCTCTTTACACTATTACCTCCATCAACTCTATAAAATATGGCGACCACTTTTCAATGAATTTTAATGATATGACAATTTATACATCTTCAAATGATTTAACAAATCTTTATATTGGTATGAATAATAAAAGTCAAAATGTGATTGTTAGTTTAAATATTAATGTACATAGAAAATTATTTAATGATATTAATTGGAGATTTGGAGCAAAGAGAATGAGTAGGTTGCCAAATGCAGGAGGTAAAAGTGAATTATCAGAGATATTTTCTTGTGAAATTATGGAAAGGATCTTGGGAGTAGAATTAAATAAGACAGAGGTAAGAACATTAATAATAATAATAAAGTGATTTTAAACGTACGTACGTATAATAATAATAACTAATAATAATAATAATAATAATAATAATAATAATAATAATAGATGGAAATTAATTACTTTTTCATGAATCAACCAATGACCGATTACCTTGTTAGCTTTCGACGTCCAAATTATTCAACTATATTTTCAATAGGTGTTTCAGTTACCCGAGCATTCGCTTACCATCGAAGATACACAAAACATGACGCTTATAGATTATTAACTAAAAAATTAAGTGGAGTAAATTCTTCAACAAGAAATATTGTAAATGCACGAATATGGAAACAAATATTACATATTTGGTGTCCAAGTGGAAAAGTAGCTAATATAGTACGAAAAGTTTATTCAAAATTATCCAAAGATTATACATCCAATACTATCGTCATGTTGACTGTAGTGAATTGTGATTGGGTATTTACAAATATCAAGGAAAATATATAATTAAATATATAAATATAGTATATATTGTATATAATTATTATTTGTAATCTTAGTAGTTATTTAGTAGTTATTAGCACATTTATACATTATATCAGATATCACATGTTATAATAAAAAAGTGTAAAAATTTTTAAATTTTTACACAAAGTAAAAAAAAGAAATATATACCAATGAATGAGGAGGATCTGCAAAGTTTTATTTATTCAATTTATGGTAATGAAATTGTCATAAAATCATAAATTACTTTTAACCCAGGAATTACAAAGTTGTGGGGAAAGTAAACGCCAACTTTAAGGGGCAGTATCCGGTTATAATATGTTCCTCATATGAATTTGAATGAAACTTTGTCATTTTTCTCTTCGGTAGAATAGTAATGGTAAATTAAACATATTTAATCACATTTAATCACATTAATAATATTTTACGCACTATACTCTTGAAGGATGTACTATGATCTTGAATTTTTAATTGGTGTCGTTCGCATTTTAAGTTATGATTCGACGGAGAAATATTTATGCTTAAACCCGAATGAAGAAAATAAAGTTCTATATATGAAATTATTCATGCGCATACTTAAAAATATATAATTCTGACAATTAATTCTAATGATACGTATGATTCTTGATGCTTATGATTGTACGTACGTAACCGAATATATCAGATATAGTATATATATATATGTTCTATACAATGTTTTTCAAAAAGTCTAATTTTGGAATCGATCAAAATTGCGAGTAAACTTGAAAGATAACAAGTTTCTTACGTGTTACGCATTTAAATTAGTAGTTTATGGTCATAAGATCTTTTTTAGTGTTACAAAAAAGGGACGAAATTATGGGTTAGTAAAATATAAATGGTAATAGATTAATTAATTAAAATATATAAAGATAAATAAATGATTTACAAGACCTACGTAGTATTCGTCACTTTAACTATGCAACTCATGAAATTCTTGGGATGTACTCAAAAGCACTGTTCACAAACAAAGCCACTAGGTAACAAAACAATCTTTTTTCTCAAGTGACAAATAATAATTTATAATTTAATAATAACAAGATAATAAATAAACATGAGTTATAATAAGTAATATTTTACTAATCACTATGGATTTAAGTAACTGCATATATGCGTATAAATGCACTTATGTCATTATGACTTTTTATTTTGCTGACATCTTGACCAATATTTCTATCTGTCACTTTTCCTTCAAAAAAATATTCAACGAAGAAATTATAGATTTACCGTGTTCACGTGACCGAGAACTATCTTCATATGATCAAATGTAAATCTGAACGATCTTCTTATGTAATATTTTTAAGATTGGCATTTTTAGTGTGCCATTGCGTTGGGAAAATTTTCGCCTATTCCAGTTTATCATTAGGAATATTAAATCTTACTATTTATTGTAATTTTTATTCTAATAATGTATATTTGATAATTGTAATTATTAATAATAAGAACAAAGAAAAAAAAAATTTTTTTTTTTTTTTATATTGCTTTATTCGAATAAAAAAATGCACTACTTACCAACCCTAGCAATATCATACGTAAAATCATATAATTACCATAAGTATAAAAATATTACCGAAATATACGGGAGTATTTGGAATGAATGAATTGATTATCAAAGAAGTTTCGATTTAAACACAAGTACGTAACTTCGTATTCCGAGGAAACGCGTAATTATGCATAATTTCCCCATAAAAAAAAAACTCTAAAGTTTATTGAATTTTTTTTTTTTTTAAGAACGTTACGAAATTAATTGTTTATGCATTTAATTAGTTATTTAATTAGTGTTATTTTAATTAGTGTTATCACATGAGTTTTACGAATGTGTTCTTTATTCCGAAAAACGAAGATGTGACAATCCGTAAAGTTCCGACTTATCGCAAAAAATTTTTTTTTTTTTAAATTTAAACTTTTTTGAAAAAAAGAATTATTTTTAACATATTGTATAATACTTGTAGAATTCTTCAACGACGATAAATATAACAAAAATAAAGTTGTAATGGCAATATTACTTTATGTAATTCGGCCGATAAATCCGTATAAGGGGTATCTATTTCTGATATTTCTGATATACGTAATGTAAGTAATACTGTAATAATCTATAATACAGTTTTGATGAGAATTTTAAAGAATATTAACATCATATTTAATATATTTAATATTAACAATATATTTAACTATATATTTAACTATATATTCGAAGCTATTCCACGTGTTTTTTAAATTATAATGATTGTATTAAAATAAATGCAATATTACAATAATTACCATATTAATGTATGACCGATAACAAATTAAAGTTGGGAACAGAAAAAAATAGATTTAAGCTTTAAAAATAGGTATAATTGCCTGATATTTACAGTATTAGAAAAAACTCGGAATTCACTAATTTACAAAAAAGAAAATTTTGAACAACGAAACACTGAAATCAGATCACCATGATACTTATTATCATCCTAAATTTGTTGAGAACCGTTTAGGAGTGCGAAAAAATTTTTTTTACAATATTAATGACTTAATTAGGATTCGTAGGTCCCATTTATATAACCGAAAAAATTTTAATGTATAATGCACCTCGTGTACTTGTGATTTATAAAATATCCTAAATTGGAAAGATTTTTAACTATCAAACTTTTAACTTTTTTTTATTAACTAATTTTATTAACTTTATAAACTTTAAATTTTTTCAAAAATTCTTTAAAAATTCCTAACGCATAATATAACGCATAATATAACGCATAATCTAGAACACTTGTCACATGATTTCTACTATTCAAGTAAACATTAAAGGTTAACGTGCTGTCTTATAATCCGATAATCTGATGATATACAGTCAATCTTTCATAAGCCATCTATAAGTTAAGTAGACTTTGTCGCGATTTTCCCTCTTATAGTCTTATAACTGATAAGTGCGCATCAATTTTGATCAGTACAAATAAAAAAATGATCCGATAATTTTTAGAACAATTTATTAAAGTTCGGATTGTCACCTACGGAGGGTTGACTGTATTTATACTAAGCAAAAAAAATTATAGTATACATCACGATCAGATATGCCCAAATATATTCAAATACATTTTTTTAGCAATATACAAGAGTTTTTTTTAGAAAATAAATTACAAAAAAAAAAAAAGAGAAAAAAAAAAGAAATATAACAGCCAATTAACGTCGAAAAAAGAGGTAGATTACGATAGAAGATAGATAGAAGATAGAAAGAAGATGATTATGATGACGACAAACAAGAAAAAAAAATAATAATACGTAGTAACGTGGTATTTGATGATTTAAATGGTAGTGTGGCGGTAGTGGTCAAAATTATGCACAAAAATTTGCAAATGTTTTTTTTTACAAAAAAGGAATAATTTTTTTGACGGGCATTTCTTATACATAAAAAGAGGGTGGGGAATGGATAGTATAAAGAAATTTAAAACAAAAAACGCGTTAAATTTATGGATAACGCCTAATATCAAAATTTCATAGAAAAAAGTTTCTAAAGCTTATCATATATATATATATATATATTAAATAAATACTAAGATTTTATATAATATATAGATTGTTGAAAATTATAATGTTAATTAAATTGCCCGCGCTTCGCATAAATAAATCCCGAGGTAATTTTTTTTAAAAAAAGGGTAATTTTTGAAAAAGAAGTAATTTTTAAAGAAAGGGGAAAAGTAATATAAACAGAGAAGAAGAAAAAAAAATTTACAAAATCAAAATTATTTATAAAAATAATAAGAAATATATATATATATATATTTTTTATATTTCCCAATTTACGCCCACTAATTCATTTTTTTTAAAAAAAGTCCATTGTCCAAGTTCTAAAAAAAAAAAGAAAAAGAAAACTAGCATAATAAAAAGAGAAGATTTTTGTTGGATAATTAAGAATTTCCCTCATTAGCGTTAGCATTAGCGTTAGCGTTAACGTTAGCGTTAGCATTAGCGTTAGCGTTAACGTTAGATGCCAAAGCTCCTAATTTATCCACATGTTCAGATAAACGATCTTGTAATTTTTTTAAATGATCAATTAAACTTGGCATTACTTCAACACTTATTCTAAAATTTTCTTTTCGTTTTGAATCACTGTTATTAATTTTACTTTCACCATTAGCTAATTTTAATTTTTTCGTATTATGACCACTACTAGAAGTTGAATCAGAATTATCACTATCATAACGATTTTCTTTATCATCATCCATAAATATTACATCTTGAGCATTTTCACCTAATTCTTCTACTATAATTTTTTTTAATACTTGCATATGTCTTTCAGAAGGTATTTTTTCAATATCAACAGCAACTCTTTTTCCTCCACCAAAAGTTGGTTGCCTATCTTTTGCTGCATCAGAAAGATCAATTATAACAGCAGCTTCTTCCCAATCTTGTTTAAATCGTGATTCTAAATCTTTATATTTTTTACTCTTTTTTTTAGATTTAGTGAACCCATTTGACCATTTCCTTGTAATCTTTGATTGTACAGTTGTTGCAAGGAACTGTTTTTTATTACGTAACGTTTTCAATTCTATTTTTTTTTAAAAAAAATATATAATATTAAAATAGATTAAAATAAATAAACCAAATAAACCAAAGGTTTAAATTTATAAATACCTTCAATCTGAGAAACGAAATCACGAATATTTGTAATATCCATTCTCAAAGAGAATTGAGCTTGTTCAACAGAATTTGGTACATTTATTTCATCATTGTCCAAATCAAAGTCATCATCCCAGCTTTCACTAGGAGTGGGTTGTCGATAAAAACTTTTGGGAATAGCGGATGGAGGTAAAGAATTAGAACGATTATGTCGAAATTTTGGAGGAGTTAAAGATATTGGAGATATTGGAGATATAGGTGGTAAAGAAGACCTTTCTTTTGGAGGGTTAATAAAATCTTCACTACCATTATCCCAATCTTCTTCTTCTTCTTCTTGTAAAGTTTCAACACCTCTAGGACTAAAAGAACCAACAGCTGAAGAACTATCAAAAGCTTGAGCTAAAATACCAGGTATATTTGGAGTAGAACTTATTTTACGATCAATAGTATATAAACTTGTAATATCAGAATAAGTAGATGAAATATCATCATCAATATTATCAAGATGAACCATTAAAGGATGTACAGTAGTTGTATTTAAAACATTTCTTGAAGGAGAAAGATGTTTATTTTTTGAGAGAAATAATTTAAATCGTTTAAATGGACTTTTTGATGAATTTGAGATTGTCGACATTGACTGTATTGACATTCGTGAAGAATTTTTGGGTTTAGCTGGACGACCGAAA